AGGTGAGTCTGGAGAGAGAGGCCTACATTCACTTTGAGATACTGCTGACTCAGGAGATGATGCCCTGGACTTGTCTATCAAGTCGCCATCATCAACATAAGAAGATTCATCAAACAATAATATAGGACTGACTGATCTCGCATCTGGCTCGTTGCTTTCCAACAAGGTTGATGAAACATTACTGTGATGAATCCCACGCACCACATCTGCATATGACAACATTCTGGAAGGGAACAAGGTTGTTGTCGAGATTATTGCAGGTTTGATAAAACTAGCCTTACTTTCTGAAGTAAAGGAATCTGGAGTATCTGGTCTACTGGGATCAAATAGTTCTCCTAAATTATAAGTGACATCGTCAGTTTCTGATAGATCTGAATGAGGAGATAAAGGTCTACTATGAGAATATTTCAAGAAATAGTTACAGTGTTGACCCATCAATTGACCAACAGTCGATGGCGGTTCAGTGAGAGATTCCTCAACAGAAACCACTGATTCTGGAGAAGATGCTCTGAAGTCTAACAACCAATCTTGCATTAGTGCATAGTCAAATTCAGAGGACAACGATTCTGGGGACAATGGTCTGCAGCTAAACAATCTGTCAAGTTGGAGGTCTGATATATCTGATTGTGGTGACTGTGCTCTAGCCTCATCAAAGAGGTTTTCTAGGAAGAAATCAGTGCCTTCCCAGTCTGAGACTGTTGACGATGGTGTACAAGACCTATGCCCTGAGAAATCATGATGCTGGGTGACATCATAGGATCTAAACTGGGGGATAGGTGAGTCTGGAGAGAGAGGCCTACATTCACTTTGAGATACTGCTGACTCAGGAGATGATGCCCTGGACTTGTCTATCAAGTCGCCATCATCAACATAAGAAGATTCATCAAACAATAATATAGGACTGACTGATCTCGCATCTGGCTCGTTGCTTTCCAACAAGGTTGATGAAACATTACTGTGATGAATCCCACGCACCACATCTGCATATGACAACATTCTGGAAGGGAACAAGGTTGTTGTCGAGATTATTGCAGGTTTGATAAAACTAGCCTTACTTTCTGAAGTAAAGGAATCTGGAGTATCTGGTCTACTGGGATCAAATAGTTCTCCTAAATTATAAGTGACATCGTCAGTTTCTGATAGATCTGAATGAGGAGATAAAGGTTCTACTATGAGAATATTTCAAGAAATAGTTACAGTGTTGACCCATCAATTGACCAACAGTCGATGGCGGTTCAGTGAGAGATTCCTCAACAGAAACCACTGATTCTGGAGAAGATGCTCTGAAGTCTAACAACCAATTCTTGCATTAGTGCATAGTCAAATTCAGAGGACAACGATTCTGGGGACAATGGTCTGCAGCTAAACAATCTGTCAAGTTGGAGGTCTGATATATCTGATTGTGGTGACTGTGCTCTAGCCTCATCAAAAGAGGTTTTCTAGGAAGAAATCAGTGCCTTCCCAGTCTGAGACTGTTGACGATGGTGTACAAGACCTATGCCCTGAGAAATCATGATGCTGGGTGACATCATAGGATCTAAACTGGGGGATAGGTGAGTCTGGAGAGAGAGGCCTACATTCACTTTGAGATACTGCTGACTCAGGAGATGATGCCCTGGACTTGTCTATCAAGTCGCCATCATCAACATAAGAAGATTCATCAAACAATAATATAGGACTGACTGATCTCGCATCTGGCTCGTTGCTTTCCAACAAGGTTGATGAAACATTACTGTGATGAATCCCACGCACCACATCTGCATATGACAACATTCTGGAAGGGAACAAGGTTGTTGTCGAGATTATTGCAGGTTTGATAAAACTAGCCTTACTTTCTGAAGTAAAGGAATCTGGAGTATCTGGTCTACTGGGATCAAATAGTTCTCCTAAATTATAAGTGACATCGTCAGTTTCTGATAGATCTGAATGAGGAGATAAAGTTCTACTATGAGAATATTTCAAGAAATAGTTACAGTGTTGACCCATCAATTGACCAACAGTCGATGGCGGTTCAGTGAGAGATTCCTCAACAGAAACCACTGATTCTGGAGAAGATGCTCTGAAGTCTAACAACCATTCTTGCATTAGTGCATAGTCAAATTCAGAGGACAACGATTCTGGGGACAATGGTCTGCAGCTAAACAATCTGTCAAGTTGGAGGTCTGATATATCTGATTGTGGTGACTGTGCTCTAGCCTCATCAAAGAGGTTTTCTAGGAAGAAATCAGTGCCTTCCCAGTCTGAGACTGTTGACGATGGTGTACAAGACCTATGCCCTGAGAAATCATGATGCTGGGTGACATCATAGGATCTAAACTGGGGGATAGGTGAGTCTGGAGAGAGAGGCCTACATTCACTTTGAGATACTGCTGACTCAGGAGATGATGCCCTGGACTTGTCTATCAAGTCGCCATCATCAACATAAGAAGATTCATCAAACAATAATATAGGACTGACTGATCTCGCATCTGGCTCGTTGCTTTCCAACAAGGTTGATGAAACATTACTGTGATGAATCCCACGCACCACATCTGCATATGACAACATTCTGGAAGGGAACAAGGTTGTTGTCGAGATTACTGCAGGTTTGATAAAACTAGCCTTACTTTCTGAAGTAAAGGAATCTGGAGTATCTGGTCTACTGGGATCAAATAGTTCTCCTAAATTATAAGTGACATCGTCGGTTTCTGATAGATCTGAATGAGGAGATAAAGTTCTACTATGAGAATATTTCAAGAAATAGTTACAGTGTTGACCCATCAATTGACCAACAGTCGATGGCGGTTCAGTGAGAGATTCCTCAACAGAAACCACTGATTCTGGAGAAGATGCTCTGAAGTCTAACAACCATTCTTGCATTAGTGCATAGTCAAATTCAGAGGACAACGATTCTGGGGACAATGGTCTGCAGCTAAACAATCTGTCAAGTTGGAGGTCTGATATATCTGATTGTGGTGACTGTGCTCTAGCCTCATCAAAGAGGTTTTCTAGGAAGAAATCAGTGCCTTCCCAGTCTGAGACTGTTGACGATGGTGTACAAGACCTATGCCCTGAGAAATCATGATGCTGGGTGACATCATAGGATCTAAACTGGGGGATAGGTGAGTCTGGAGAGAGAGGCCTACATTCACTTTGAGATACTGCTGACTCAGGAGATGATGCCCTGGACTTGTCTATCAAGTCGCCATCATCAACATAAGAAGATTCATCAAACAATAATATAGGACTGACTGATCTCGCATCTGGCTCGTTGCTTTCCAACAAGGTTGATGAAACATTACTGTGATGAATCCCACGCACCACATCTGCATATGACAACATTCTGGAAGGGAACAAGGTTGTTGTCGAGATTATTGCAGGTTTGATAAAACTAGCCTTACTTTCTGAAGTAAAGGAATCTGGAGTATCTGGTCTACTGGGATCAAATAGTTCTCCTAAATTATAAGTGACATCGTCAGTTTCTGATAGATCTGAATGAGGAGATAAAGGTCTACTATGAGAATATTTCAAGAAATAGTTACAGTGTTGACCCATCAATTGACCAACAGTCGATGGCGGTTCAGTGAGAGATTCCTCAACAGAAACCACTGATTCTGGAGAAGATGCTCTGAAGTCTAACAACCAATCTTGCATTAGTGCATAGTCAAATTCAGAGGACAACGATTCTGGGGACAATGGTCTGCAGCTAAACAATCTGTCAAGTTGGAGGTCTGATATATCTGATTGTGGTGACTGTGCTCTAGCCTCATCAAAGAGGTTTTCTCGGAAGAAATCAGTGCCTTCCCAGTCTGAGACTGTTGACGATGGTGTACAAGACCTATGCCCTGAGAAATCATGATGCTGGGTGACATCATAGGATCTAAACTGGGGGATAGGTGAGTCTGGAGAGAGAGGCCTACATTCACTTTGAGATACTGCTGACTCAGGAGATGATGCCCTGGACTTGTCTATCAAGTTGCCCTCATCAACGTAAGAAGATTCATCAAACAATAATATAGGACTGACTGATCTCACATCTGGTTCTGTTGTGTCTTTATCATATTGAATCCTTTGCACCACATTTGTATAAGTCAGATCTCTTGAAGTGAGCAGGGCTGTGGTTGTGAGTTTATCATGTTTGCTAATTCTAACACTGACTCCTTGATTATTGGAATTGGAACTTTCAGATGATAGTGCACAACTGTCTTGTACTTTATTTTCATTGAGACTGGAGTCATCTGACCTGTGTAATTCTCTTGCAGATGATTCTGTCTTTGTCTCTGTTTTTCTTTGATCTTTCTTAGAAAATATTTTCCCCAGAAAGTTTAGCACATACTTTGGCCTCTTGATTAACTTAAATACTTTTGGTTTAAAATTATCATTTTTCCCTGGTGGGTTCTGTAGTGTATTAGGATGGCTGTAGTTGTCATTTTTATATTCATGATGTGTTATTTCTGTGCTATGAATGGTATTAGTTTCCAAATTAAACTCCCTAGTCTCAGTACTCTTCTCTTTGTCACGATGCTCTGCCATTGTTTCTGTTTGTGTTGCAAACAGCTTTGAACAATGTTTACTGGTTTTATTATTATTTTTAAAAGTTATTTTAGAAGTATCTAATTGGTTATCACTATGTGTCAATTCTACTTTCGAAAACCAGTAGTCTAGATATGACTGTTTTTCTTGTAAGATTGGGGATATGGTAGAGTTCACTGAAAATTGTATTTTATCTGAACAAGTAATTTCTTTGCTGTATCCTGAAGCATCAAAAACATTCTTTGATGAAGGTTTTAGTTTTGCATTAGATATTGTTGATAATGATGGCTTGTCATTAGAATATAATAAAAAATAATCACATGTTTGGCGCCTTAGCTGAGAACGGGTTGGCTCTGAGAGTGCCAGTTCAAGAAATGAGAAACTACACTGTGAAATTTCGGAATCTGGTGAGCAAGCTCTACAGCGATCCACATCTTCTTCCTCTATGGGATTTATAACATGAACCTGTTCATTATTTTCTGTAGTATTCACCATGTAGGCAGTGCCAAAGCATTTGGTTTTCCAAATATTTCTACTAAAGCAACAGGTTGTCTCGGGTGGTGATGAGCTAAAGCAGTCAGTGTCAGTAGGTTTATCCATATAGTCTCTAGAGTCTCTAATTTGAGCACTGCTGTGGATAACAGAACAATAATCTGTTGAGTCATATGCCAGAAATGCAGACTGTGTTTGTGGATTCATGGTTGGTTGAAATGTTTCATTAAATTCCTTTATCTTCAGTGTAGAATTAAGTGCTTCTGATGGGTGAGTGCATTCTTCATTCTCATCAATAAACATCAGGTCCTCCTTATCGCTGTCTAGGTGATCTTGACACTTTGACATCTCTTGTGGCTTCAAAAATGTAAAAACCTTTCCCATAGTTGGCTTTTTTATTATTTTGTTATAACCCTCTTGTTGGAGGTAAGAGTCAGCAACAGTAAGAGTTTGTCTCTGAGATGCCAGTGTTCCTACAATGATTTCATCTTCAATCACAGCCAAGGGTGCTTGTCGGTCACAGGAATGTGCAACATTTGCACTGTGGAGAGTCATTATAGACCTCGTGTTGTTACAAATATCATCGAAATCACACTCAGCCTGCTCTGACTCTAAAAGACTTGGACCAAAGTCTTTAATTGTTATTGATGGTGGAATATTCACACCGTCAAGCTGTTTGCTGTGATCCAATGTGATACCAAAATGTTCAAATGGGAGAGTCTGTTCCATGTAATTTTGGCTTTCACACAGAAAACCTTTGGAAGCTTTCCCAGTCTTGGAACAGCGTGGATTTTTCACTTTGCATTTAGCATTATTTTCCACTTGGTTTTCCACTTCAGCTTCTTTTAATGCTGGAAGTGTACTTACTTGCTCATCCTCTAGAATATAACTCGTTGGCTCTTGTATATTAACGTCATCAGGATTCCAAAGGTTGGGATTCAATTCTCTGTAGGTGAAAAAAAAGAACAAATATTTTACATAAAATAGTCTGACTATATATGATACTGAATCAATAATAATTACTGTGGAATCTCAAGCTCCTCCAGAAGATCATGTATGCTTTCTGAATGAGTGTGTTCGACAGGCTCTGCCCAGGATGGAATATCCAACAAGGATGCAACTGAAAGGTCCTCTTCAGAAACAGCTGGAGGTGGTCTGCGCTCCCCACCTTCAACCTTTCTTACAACTCGGGGACTATCTACATCTTCTTGCACGGAAGAGAGGGCTACTGACACTGTCAAAGGGAAATGTTTTGAGTTAGTGAAAACTAACTTTTCTTAAAATGGCCTATAAACTGCAATACCTTCGCTGTGATCAAGTGTCTTCTCAATCTCTGCATAAGTCCTTGATGTTTGTTCAACTACTGACTTGTTCATTTGAGTTTCAATAAGATGTACTATGTCCATGCGGTTGATCTTTGTTAGTCTTTTTACCAAGCAATCCTCTGAAATGACCAGATAAATAAGAGTAAAATTATTCATTTATTGTCAGTGCTTAATGATAATAAATATTTTACTTACCAGTAGCATGTTTTCCTTCCCTTTCAACCCATCGCTGAAGCAAGGCATGGCTCTGTTCCTGAAGTGAATTGGGATTTTCTGTTCTAATGACTTGTATGTCATCCTCACTAAATTCAAGTTCTCTTGCAAGCTCTGTGTGAGTAAAAGAAATAGATGAGAAAAGGGTGAATGTTTGCATTATTTTATAAAATGTATATATTACATTTTTTTTGTTTCAAACTTACCAGTCCAGCTGAAGCCAAGAAGATCTGCGATGATTGTCAAAGTCTCCTCTTTTCTGTCAGCATCATCCTGCCAGTCTACTAAAAAGCCACCATATCATGTAAAACATTTTATTATTTCTACAAGAAATCCTATAAAAATCAATAAAATGTTAATATTATTCAATATAAACTGCATAAATAAGTTGTGGATGTTTTAAGCGACATTGTCAGTATGCATGCATAAAACAGATGACAATGTTTTAGTATGGCTTTTTGTCAGTATGTAATAATTGTGGTTCTAGTGTTACTAGAAAATGACTACACTGATTGGCGCAATAATGGTATTCTTAGTTGGGGTATGGAATTTGTACAATTTAGTAATTCAATCTTGAGATTTTGAACATACAAAAATACAAGGGACAACTATAAAACAAACAAAATACAAAAAAAACATGACAAATGTGCTACAATGCTAACAGTATACCACTGATACACATGAAAAAGAAACAAACATGAAAAACCATAGACAACAGGCAGTGGAGGTCTAACCATACCTGGTGTATATTCTGGCGTTTGATCAACGGCGACTCGCTGCATCTGAGTTTCTACAGTGTCATCCCAGGATGGCCTAGATTCAAATACATCCTCTTTTTCAAAAGAAGACTGGACAGAAACTAAAGGATGGGCATCTGAATCTGAGCTCTGTGGGGCTGGAATGTCATACGTAAAAATAACAGAATCTGGACTCCTATGGGTAGTGCTGCTTGAACCCAAAGAAATCCTAGTGGAGGATTCTGTAATTTCAGAAAGTTTTGTGACATTACATGAGTAAGGGTGCACTTGTGCAGCAGGTTTGTTGCTAGGTAAAGTCACATCATGGCCACATCTTATATTGGTTTTGCTGCTTTCAGAGTAACTTCTACTGTTTTTATCAAAAGTTCTGTTTTTACTGTCATCTCCAGTCTCTGATCTCGTTCTACGACTTAAAACATGGCTTTCTGCTGATAGAATACTGTTTTCTTTGGTTTCTGAAGTTGGGAGTGAATCTACTTTTGGTATGTCAATTTCAATCACTGAGCACTGATCTTCATCACATTCTTCCTCGTCATCTTCCTCGGATGACTCAGGGGATTCACTGCGCTGTTTTGAATGCACCAAATGAGGCTGGGTATCCAGCTGAAGGTCAGCAATCGTAGTGTTAAGATTCAGACCAATTTCAATTATTTCATTATCAATTTGAATATTTGTTACCAAAGCAGTGGGTGAAGTAAGATGAACCTCTACAGAGCTTTCAAGGTTAGCTGAGCAGAGTGCTTTCTGAGACATGTCAAACGTTTTAAGTTTAGGGGTTAAAACTTGATTATTTTCTTCCTCTACATGTTCCTCTTCAAATGGCTCAGTTTGTGAAATTGCCAAGGGTTTTATTTCTTCATCAGATTGTCTGATTGTCATGTCAATGGCCCCACCTCTTGTCATTTCAAATAGTTTTCCCTCCTGAAACTGAAATGGATCTGTTGCGATTTCTCCCCTATGGGAAGCTGAAGTATCTACAGGGCCAGTAGATTCAGAATGAGGATGAGAAAGAGGGTCAGCATCAAACCCAAGACTGGTTTCAATACATGCACTGGATAGTTCTGTCACAGATTTTTGATTATGTCTCTCATTTTCAATTTCTTGTTCCATTTCATCAAAAGTTTTAATCTTTGCAGCCATTTTGAACATTTCTTGTTCAGTAAAGTCTGCATCTTCAGTATCATCAGTGTTACATATATTGGATGCTGGACAATCATTAGTTGCTTCGGATTCAGTCTGTTCTGTTCCTTCACTGTAAATAGTTTTATCAAAAGCATAGCAGGCTTTGAGCTGAGAGGCATAATCTTCATACACAGCAAACTTTGATTCACTGGGATTTGCATCAGTAGGACTTCCCTCAAGTGAGTCTTGACAAGGTGACTCTTGAGTGGGACTTGGTTCAATGGAATCTGGAGATTTCTTTGAAGAATGGTCCTCTATTACAGGACTTGACTCTAGTGAGTCTTGCTGAGAACAACAATCACTAACTTGTTTATCAAACTCCTCAGAATGCAGCGTCTCCAAATTGTCTGGTCTCTGTAGCTTTAATTCATAGTCAGATGCTTTAATATCTGAATCAGTATTACCTGTACTCACATCAATTTTGTCAAGAATGGAGTCTTTTGAGTCCTCTTCCTTTGCAATCTGTTTACCTGAGTCACAGCCAAAAGTTGTGTTTTTGGTGTCTGCTGATTCTTGTGGAGTATCTTTAGTCAGGATTACTTGTGTAAAGTTCTCATAAACAACCTCCTTGGTTTGTTGAGGCTGGGCATTTGTTGTATTTTCTTTAAGATAAAGATCTAAGTTAGAACTGAGTAATGAGATCATACCTGACATATCTTTTTCTAATGCATTGGTCGTTGTTGTTCTTTCCATTATCATTTCATTATCCTCTTGCTTCCTATTCTTGACGGTGACTTGTACAGGGCTCTCATGAGCACAATATTCATCTGGATGATTCTGTATTTCCACTGGATTTTCCAGAATATACTGTTCCAAGTCATCACTGAGAAGGGAGATCATACCTGACATGTCCTTTTCTATTTTGACAGTTTCATCAACACTTTGTTCATACACTTCTTCACCTGTAATAAGAACTGATTTTTCTTCTTCAGATGTAGACTCTTTCGTGTCACAATAGGTTTCCTGTGTTGTGGTAGGCAGAGATGCTCCTTTAGATGCATCCTTTCTGTCTAGAGAAACCAGTTGCTCATAATTGTCCACAATATTTTCTCTATTTTCTGAATCTTGATCCAGCACTAATGACTCATGGTGTGTTTTTGGGGTGACAGTGGCATCCTTTGTTAGACAATCTAGGCTTTCTGAACTGTTTATAAATGTTTTTCTGTCCTTCAAATGTTCAGTGTCATTGTCTGTGTCTAATGAACTCCTGACCTCCGGCTTATCTGGGAGGAGCTGCTCCAAGTCATTGATGAGTAGTGATTCCATTCCTGACATGTGTTTTTCTTTTGTTTCTATGGTATATTTTTCAATTAGTGATACTTTTTCATCCCCTTCATTGCCCCTAGATGTCATGGTAACTGATAATAGCTCTTCCATTTCATTTCTATCAGTTACAAATCTCAGACTTTCTGGTTTATCTTCTTTTGCTAAAATAACCTCCTCAAATGTCTCCTGAATCATGTCATTTTCTACTTCTTCTTCTTGGGTTTTTATGTTTTGCAGAGACTCATCTAATTCTTTGCTCAAGAGATTTGTCATCCCCGACATATCCTTTACTGTTGAAAAAACATCTGCATCTCTTTGCCTGTCAATGCGAACTTCTTTAAATTCTGGTTCCTCTATTATAATTTCCTCATAGCCAACAGCTGTATCTTTGTGTCTGACTTCATCAGACATTACTTCATTTGAAACTAAAATGTTGTCTCTACTTCTTGTGTAACTCAGCATTTCTTCAGTAATCTGATCTGTTATGAGAAGCTGTTCATAATTTTCACCATCCCCAGAATATGAGTCAATATCGTCAGTGAGTATTTCCGTCTCAGGTACTTCCATCTGGTACCTCTCATCGACCAAAGTGCCTTTGAAAAGTTGATACTCTGGATTATCTTCCAGTTCAGCTTTTATGTCAGCACTGAAGTCCTCCGAAGGTCTGCGGTCTGGACTGATCTGCATGTCTTGTGAGCTTCTGGCAGTGCTAATAAATGGCTCGTCTAATGTCATTGAACTTCCCCGTGAGCCTGACCACTCTTGCTCATCTTGGTCAGTGGCTGTGGGCTTAGCAATGATTGGTTCATGTTCAGTCATTTGGGTCTGATCAGCATTTTCACATGTCACTGCTGCAATGCAAGCAGCAGTTATGTGTTCCAACAGGCTTTTATCATTTCTGGTGTTCTGTTCAGTCTGGAATGATTTAATTCGTTCTTTAACAGATAGTGTCTCAGCCCCTGATAATTTTGCTTTTGGAGGAGCAGATTGTTGGTGACTAGTATCCATCTCTTCATCACAGGCTGTTTCTAAAATTAAGGGTGTATCAGTAAGAGTGTCTGTTTTAACTGACTCAGACTCGTCCTCTGACAGGACATTGTCCTCATTAACTACTACAATGTCAGCAAATGTTACTTTCTTTTCTACTGTAAGTTGTGGTTCCTCACTCTGCTCTTTGGTAGGACTTTGCGATTGAGTAAATTGGTGAATATCAGCTTGTATGATAAATTCTTTTGAACGATCTTGTCCTGCACCACAGTCTCTATCTAGTGATTCGGACACTAATGTTGAGAGTGTTGTATCCTCGAGTTTTTGCTCAACTGGTTTGTCTACAACCGTTTGACCAGTCTGAAATGTTTTCATAAGTTCTTTAACAGACATGGCCTGACCTTTATCTGCATGTTTCACTGGCTCTGACCTGTGAATCTCATTGATAGAAGTAACTGATTGGTTGACTCTATCTTCGTTGTGAATCTCTGGCACATGAGATTCACAAGAAGCTGGGACAGCTTTGTGTTCAAAGAGTCCAGTTTTATTCTTTGACGGATCTTGCCCAGTCTGGAATGCCTTCATTAACTCTTTGACAGACATGGTCTCCTCTAATCTTTCAGTCTGGGATCTTGGTGATTTAGGAACTTTAGGCAATTCTGGCATGTCGTCCTCTGTCCTTGACCCATCATTTAAATGGAAATCCTGTGTTTGAGTAGATTTTTGCTTTTCCTCTTCTTCTACCTTGCTCTGTAAAGCCTTTACTCTGTCACTTATAGACCCAATAGAAGTTTCAATAATAAGGGGGGAAACAGGTGGCTCTGTGGCTGTGGTCGGTATGACAGCAGGCACATGAAGCACAGTGTCACCGTCTAATGACTCCACTGAGCTCACACGCTCTAACTCTCCCTCTGAGCTACTACATCCAGATCGCTCCCTCTCACGAAGTTTTTTGCGAATTGGTTTCTTGATATCAGGTGGCCGCCGCTTGCCCTCAGAGTTTATAACTTCTTTACATGAACTTTGAAGAAGATCATCTTGAGAAGCACTTCTTGATATGGACCTCTGTTCCTCAGAGGGGATACTGTTAAAGATACTTTCTGTGTTTTTCTCACTTAATCCTTCCACTTGGTCACTTTGCACTTCATTAGAAGCTATTTGACACACATAAGTAGTTTTATTTTGATCATTAAATTTAGAATTGTAAACTTGGGTTGTTTCAGTTTTCAGTCTGGACTGTTCCACAACGATTAACAGATCATCCACTGATGCTCTAGCTCCACCTCTCTCAACACTTGACAGTAACTCTGTGGGGTCAGCAGGCATGGTGGACATTCTTATGTCTGACATGTCAGAGAGAAGGTCAGGGCTTGCAAGGGTTGCAGGATCAAGAGTCTGACCAACTCTTAAGGAGAATGTCTCTGTTGACTCAGATTCATCATCTTTCAACAGAAAAACTTCAACAAAAAAAGATAAAAATCAAGGGACAAATCAAGCGGGAGAAGAGAGACATAAGAAACTGTGATCAAACATTGACATCAGGTCCACCTTCATTTGTAAGAGCAGAGAGGAAAAACAGTCTTTGAGGCAAGGCCAAAAGGGAGATGAAATGGTGATCCAGAGAAGGAAGAAAGAAGTAGAGCAGGATAAGCAAAGGTATAAAAAAACAAAACAGGTTCAACAGAGCCAAGAAGGAAAAGTCTTATTTTGGATGACTTAAACACTGATAACAAACAAACACTGAAAACAAATAAACCAACAGAAATTCTCAAGATTGTAGTGGACATGAAAATTCATGTCTTTTCACTAAATAATACTGGAATTAGAAATCAAATTGAACAAAATAAGTAAGTAATTGAACAAAACCAGGACATTTCTGATAGTGTATTTAATTATAAGTACCATTATATATGTGTATATTTATTCACTTTTACATACTGTTGTGTATTGGAGTGTGCTAAATGTATGAGTGTTGTTGTTCAGAATGGGTTCACCCTCCCACTGATGTAGATGGATAAACATAGCATGAAAAAAATATAAATGAACTGAATACAAATAATATAAATAACTATAAACTGATAATTATAATAAGCAACTAATTGCAGTTTATACTTAATAAATAAAGGAGGAAAGTTTTAAGAGCAAGGAATGAGGATGCAAAGCAATGCAGACAGACATCTTAAAGGAGACATATTATGCAAAATAAACTGTAATGAGCTTTTAACCTTGTTATAACGGTGCTCCCTCACCATAGGGTTACTCATGTTTGTAATATGATTAATTCATGCATGTTTAAGTATTGCTGTGTTGTCATGCATTTCAGGCTTGAGTGGGCAGAAAAGATCTATTTTCTCCAACCACTATTCCCACCACATCCCTGTACTTAGTTAGAATTATGAACTCCAGGTGATACACCATATGACTTGCTATTGCTATTTACAATGAACAATGAACAAATGTAAACATTTTTTTTTTTTACTTATGGTATAATTCAATATATATAATTCAATATTAAGTTCCTGAAAAAAGCATGATATGTCTTCTTTAAATTTAAATCATAAATGGGTGCGCATGCATGCAAATTTTAAGCTATAATCATGATTTAATTCAATAATTACTTAATACATAAAACATACAAATTTTACATATAAGCGCAAATGTATGATATGATTTATTTTCTGAAATAAATTATATATACATATTCTAATGTAATATAAAAACTGTTAACATATTTTGATAGAGAGTATACTTACATTTCTTGTCACTCTTTTCACTCTGTAAACAGACATTATTACATCTTCAATATCTGGTTATTTAAAATATATAATCTATCCAGTATTATAGTCATGTTTTTTTTTTACCTCATCATCTGCATCTTGGTCTGAATCAGATTCCTGTAAAAGAAGAAAAATATGACTTCAGAAGTAGAACAGAAACAAACCTAATTTTAGATTGAGACAGACCTTTGAATATGTTGGTAAGGTGATATTGAGGTTGCAAATAGCGTTGTGATTAAGACTGCGATAGGTGCGTGGTTCCTTTGTAAAAGACAGACGTCCACATGGCTCTTGAGAAGTGTCTCGAATCTGTTCAGTAAAATTGCAAATGATTAGCATTTTAATAAAAAGGTTTCATAAGTATCAGTTTATATCAATGTGGGCTGTGTGTGAGTGATAAGTTTTGATTGGAAGGGCCAATGGCACAGTTTGTAGCAATTATTCATTTATTTTTTATTTATTCATTTAAATCTTAATATGAAACATACTTTTATGAAGAGGGCTAGTCTGTTCTCCTTGAAGGCGAAGAAGCTGAAAACATGATGCTGTCCACTCTTGGTCAGAGGAACTAGGTTTCCAAAGCAGTCAGCAAAGATAGGTTTTCCCTCCAGTACCTATCGAAAAGCAAGTTTTGATCATCAACATAATTTAAAAAAATCAAGTGTATAAAAACATATCCTCACAATGCACCTCAACATCTCTGCTGCGTGCAACCTCTGTGAAGTTCTCTTGCTGCTCCAGGGTCTTGTCCATCTTGTCGTCAGTCATACAAAAGCAGCGCAGTCGGGCCTCAATCGGGTCTAATGTCTTGGCGAAGATAACAAACTTGGCCATGTACGGCACACAAATGATCTCTCTGTAAAGCTGCGTGCCGAAGCTGACTGATTCTTGAGTTTGTCTGCAGTCAATAAGCCAGAACCTGGAAACATAAAATAAAAGTCATCAAGTTACTGGTTAGACTTTTATTCATTATTCACTGTGCAGTTGTTACAATACGTGTTATACAATAAGTGTTATAAAGACTTGCCTTGCTGATACATTGGTGGTAAAGGAAACACATTGGTTAACAAAAGTTAGAGGCGTAGATCCTGTAATGTCCTCCCACTGAGCTGGAGTTGTTCCACCTGAAACAAAGTAAAATAAAAAATAATAAAAGTTATTTGTAAGTATAAGTATATATAAGTAACATTAAGCAAATATTAAGGTAGTCTGATTTACTATGTATTATGTACCAGTAATACTGCAAAGTAATCTTAAAGTTGGTGTTTCTCCACTGAAGGCTGGGTTTTGATCCTCACTGTTGGAGTGCTTGGGAATGGGGATTGTCATTGTAATAGGTTTGTGGAACTTTCTTCGCCTTGGCTCTAATGTTACAATTGGACTAAATATTGCTTTATTACCAAGGCATTTTCTCACTGTGTCAACATCAATTGGCTGAGCCTGTAACAAAGCACAACAATACTATAAGTACACAGTGCCATCTTAAAATGTTTTTTAATTGTTATCTAGTTTTCTGTACCTGCAGACCCACACGTATCTTTTTGGTGAGTGCTCCTTCAGGGAACACAGCCTGGACCTGAGGCACCAGAGTGCTGCTGAGGACCCCTCCCTCTGGACCAATCAGATGGCTGTCTTGCTTTATACGCGACACCACTGCAAAATACTGGGGAAAGTCTCGTGTGATGATACGGCATATTCGTTTCTTCTCAAGCTCTTCAGGTGAATCAAGCTCTGTGAAGGTCAACATTCACAGTGTAAACCAATCAAACCAGTTTCTATGACAATATTAAGCAATTAATATTAAGCTCTAAATAGCACACATACTTTCATCCATGCCATTAAGTATCTGGTTTAGTTCCTCCTCAGTGAAATCACAGTGGTGTTCCCTCCAGTTTTCTCCTGTCTCACTCCTCAAGATGACAAGCTCTCGCTCTGTCCCGCGCAGTGCTGCAAAATGGGGGATCTCTACAATCACAGGCCTAGAACAACAAGCAATTACAAACAAATGTATTAATTGCATAAAGAAAATTCCATTTAGATTATTTAGACTAACAAATAACATAGAAATAATGACGTGGAAACATAAACGTAGATCATAATCAGGTTCATGCAAAACAAACAAACAATAAATATGTAAAACTACAAAAGAGTATTGTCGCTGAACTAATGTGTCTTGTCAAAAACAAAGGAACAATAATGTGTATCCCTGTATGGCAGATTTTTTTGATCATGAAAAAGTAGCCATCAACTCTTGTTGCTGTCGGCCATCAATACAGAGGGAGCCTGATGGCATAATCAAAATAATGCAATAGAAATGATGAACTCAAGATGTAAATAAAAGGAAAGGGGGACAATATGACATAACCAAGCTTCTGTGGTAGATGCCCCCACCCATGGCCCTACCCGAGGAACTTGGTCCCTGGAGGACCCAGCTGAAGGATGCGACTGACCAGACTCTCACCCTCATTAAGGGGGGGTGGAGCAGTGGGCAGATGCAGTTTACTGATCCATACGCAGCACAGAGATGGAGCCAAGAGAAACATATAAACACACAGATCTATATATAGACAGCACTGATTCCTTTATGGCGTCTCTGACTTACCCCAAGAATTGAGCTCCAGTGGGTCCCACTTCAATTATACGACCAGCCAGACCCTCTCCCTCCACCATTGGAGGCATGGAGGCGAGGCGGTGTCTCTTGACCAGTCTGCATGTCACTCTTGTGGGGGCTGAACACTTCCTTGGTGGGACAATAATACGAAGCCCATTGTGACGGCAACCACGCATGGCTCCACCTCTGGCATCAACCATAAAACTGACAAGGAAGCTGTGAAAATGGCATATATAGGTCAGCATATGCCTAAAAGCACAAACTCAGACTTTCATGCAAATACATACATTACATTATTGAGCTGCAGATAGATCAAAACACTTGCAAACATTCATAAACATCAGTAAAGATAGTAGTAGTAGCAATGTAATTTTGATGATAGAAATGTGTATCTTATGTATTTTTTTTTTTTTTTAATAACCACAATGCCATCATGTCTTAACATTACTTAAACTTAAGTAAACAGTTTGACACATGCCTCAATACTTTGGAACATTATTGTACCATTAGAACAGTGTTTTTTAAAATCATTGTAAAATCTACTAACAGATCATCTCACACCAAATGTGCACCATGCATGAAAAAGTCAAAACATAACACAAAGATGCAAAACTTAAAAGTTTCACCTGCTGTTGTCATGGTCTAGACACGGTGTGGAGCGGCTATAGCAGAACACATCAACCCACAAACAACCAACAAGACAGCCAAGTGACACAAAGGCAACAATAGACAACAGAGAGAAGAGAATAAAAGAGATGAGTTGAACCTGACACAAGACAGAGTACACAGCACACACTACAGTAGCAGAAAGGAGAGCTAAAGCATATGGGTGATGGAGTCTTACTTGCAGTGTTGGAAAGTAAATGAATACATATACCAAGAATTTGTTTTCTGAATACTAATATACTTTACTGTATATACTAATACTAATATACCAATACAATAACTTTTTCATTTGGTGGTATTCAGAATACAGCTACTTTTCTAAAATCAAAGAAATACATTATGGTATTTGATCATGTAATTTAGGTTTCAAATTGCACAGAAACGTGAGAAAATAGTCAACTCTGCCCCAATTAGTGATAAGAAATGCCTTAAAACCAGTCAAATAAATATAAAGCTGTTAATACTGATACTATTAGTATTATGTTTCATCTTTACACTATAATTTAAATGCAACTCAAAGTAAAAGTCTTCTGATTACGTTACAAACGTAATGCTTCAGATTACGTTACAAAATACATTTTAATGCAGGTGTTCAGTATTCTGTAACTGTATACTTCCCATCACTGCTTACTTGTACATATTATCTTACATATTAACAAACGTATTTATGGCTTAAGCATAAATACCCTGAGTGCAGCAGTGTGGAAGACAGCACCACATTATCAAGGTGTTCAGCCCCCCAGCTCAGACGAAATGATTCTTTGTCTTCTCTTGATAGAGCTGATACCTTTGTATCAGAAACAGCATTAAGAACATGCCCTGTAATAATATGGTGAAATACTGACAACACAGGACTGGACAGAACATACTTGGTGGCTTGAAATCATATCTTCAATGAGAACTCCTTCTTTCTGATGGAAGCTGTGAATTGCAGTATGTCTGTTAGAAATGCATTTAAGATTTGTGTGTCTGCTTTAATACTTTAAAACTTGCCCCGTCACGACAACAAATATTAAAGTGAGATAAACTGTGGAAGTAAATATAGCTGATAAATGATAAAATTTAAGATAATTTATGCCACTGACACAATAACACACAGCGTAACTTTTCAGATTGGGGGTCAGCTACCATGGAGATGCTATTGCTTTGCCTGTAATGTTCCACAGTATGGTATTAAACTTATATTAGATGGATCTTTTCAATTATGGGTGTTTTTATTGCTCAAAAATACATTAAAACATGCATTCTTATTGTGAGTGGGGTCACTTCTTCACAGATCTTACATGTAAACTGGTCTGGTGGCGTCTCCTGAAAACTGAGCTTCAAAAGTTCTATGCCATACTTTACAATATTGGAGGTAAAAAAATAGCATCGCTATGGAGACAAGTAACTGGAAGACCCTCTACCACAAAAGTGACACAGTGAACCTTTAAGAGGCAGAAACTATTCTAAATGTACAATATTGTTAAAATCACGAGCTGCAATAAATAAACAACAGAATAAAACACCTAGTACTTAACTTGTATCTATAATGAGTCATAGAAGTTATTAATTCATCCTTTCACACCTCAAATCTTATTATATTCCCAAAAAATAACTACAAATCTTCCAGTAGTGCAAAGAAAAACCCACGATGAATACTGAACCCCAAAATATTCCAACTTCCCTATATTGAACTCTAAGTTGATACAGTAATTATTGTGACAGGCCTATTCAAAACTGAAAAACACCTGTCCAAGTTGTGACTCATGTAGCTGAACCCGTCCAAATAATGTCCTGGTAAAGAATCGTCTCCCAGCTCCCTGAGATCTTCTGCTCTCAGATATTCTCCTCCATCACCAGTCATTGTATCCTCACCTGGCAAATCAAATCAAATTATATCAGAAGCATTGTACACATGTAGTTGTTTCACACCACTCAGTCCATCCTAAAAAGATTATAGTGGGTAAGTCAAGATTCAAGTGTGTGCAAATGTTCAATCTGTTATATATTAGTTGTGATTAGTTTGAATCTGTTCATCACATTAAAAAGCTTAAATTAAATGTATTATTAATATGTTAAGATCAGCAATCACATTTGGAATAAAACAATCCACAGCAAGCTTAAAGCACTGAGGCATTTTCTGTACCTTCCACTTCTACAGATCCGTCAGTTAAAGTCTCATCATCAAGCCTAAAAGCTTTAAAACATACAATTTCAAACCCCCACTTATCCTATATCATGTCTTATATTACACAAAATTGACTCTTGTGAGTGTTAAGCCCTGCTATAATGTTGTTACCTCATCAAAAACAATCCTGGAGTTGTGTTTTGTTTCATACACACATATCTGAGCAATCCTTTATTATTAGTTTGTCTACATCTCCAAAGCTCAAAATGCTCTGTTCCACCTTGTGATGTCATGAATGGTAATTTAATAAAGTTAACAGCAACCTTTTACCTTTTGTTTAGTAGAGATTGGCAATTCCAGGGCTGAAATTATCCAAATGATCCCATTGAAGAAGTATGAAGTTTAAAAACACAGTGGTGCACTCAGTATCTGTATTACCAAATGACATCACAAGGTGGAACAAAGTGTTTTCTGCTTGAGAGAAGAACCTAAATATGCAAAGTTTGTGTAATAAAGATGTGTGAATGAAACAAATCACAACTCCAGGTATGTTTGTGATGAGGAAACAACATTATAATATAGACCAGAAAACAGTGCAAAATGGACCCTTCAAATTCAATAAATAAAAAAATACATTTTTAACTTACCCTCTTCATCTGACACATCTAAGTCTTCTGTCATAGTCTCTGGCACATTCAGCTTGTGTTTCTCTGTTACAGTCTGAAATGTCATGAAGTTCCAAATTAGTAATTTTATTCTGTGTTTATAAAATAAAATAATATAACAGTATAACATAAGGTCTACTACTACTTAAGGTTTTGAGCTTACTGTTGTGGTAGTGATGACCTCCTCTGTCACCACTTTCAGGGTATCAACCACAGAGATGTAACCCAGGCGTTTGGCAATGGACAAAGCAGTGTTACCATTCTAAAAAAATAATACATGTTTTTAATTTTATAGGATCTAAAGCCATACAATTTTGTTTTCTCTTACCACTGTTGTAGCATTCGGTTTGGCCCCATGTTGCAACAAAACATTTATGATATGTGTGTTCCCCTGCTGTGCTGCCTGGTGGAGAGGTGAGTATCCATTCTAAAAAATAAACAAGATTGATTAGAATGGACACGATAAATGAGCAAATGTTGAAATTCTATGTTGACATCTCTATGGTTACCTTTGTTTTGGCATTGACATTGGCTCCTTGTTGCAACAGAAAGCTCACCATCTTGGCGTTTCCATAATGGCAAGCCACAATAAGAGGAGTATACCCAAGCTAGAAAGAGAAGTTAAAGCAGATTGAAGTATTGGTGATATGTAATACAGTAATACTGTTGATTTTGGTGAAGCTGTGTGTTACCTTTGTTTGCTGATCTAAGTTAGCATCATGCTTAGCCAGTACTTCAGCTGCATTTACTCTGTCCTCTTGGGCCGTGAGATGTAGAGGAGTCAAGCCAGTCTGTAAACAAAAGGATTTAAAAAGTTAAGTTTCCTTCATAGGATATACTTTGTGATTTATATTTATACCTTGGTTGCTGCATTGACATGTGCTCCTTTGCCCAGCAGCAGAGTGGCCATTTCAGCGTGTCCTTCCTGAGCTGCGAGGTGTAAAGGACTGACGCCCTGTTTCGTTAGTGCATTGGTCTCTGCTCCATACTGCAGCAGGGAAAGTGCTAGATTGATTTGGTTCTTTTTAGCAGCAATGTGCAGAGGGGTGTAGCCATTCTGGAGAAGAAAAAGAAGCCATTTTAAAAAGGTTGACATGATTTACACAAGTTAATCTCCAAGACTGAAGTCTTACCTTTGCAGTGGCGTGAGGAGATGCACCTTTATCAAGTAGCAGCAGAGCCACTTCCTGGTTGTCATAATGGGCAGCCACATGAAGTGGGGATAGACCATTCTGAAAAGGCAATATATATAGATTAGTCCTGGTCATCTTTAAACAATATAAAAAACCTGGGCATATATAATATGAGCATTAAAACATTTGTTTTATTTTCCACCTCACCTTTCCTACGTCATCAGGGAGAGCTTTCTTTTGAAGAAGCATTTTTGCTACATCTAGGCTTCCATATTTAGCTGCTACATGTAAAGGGGTAAATCCTTTCTATAAACAGAAAATGCAACTCACTTCAGTCTACTAAGCAAACCTGAGGTTAAAGATTAACATGAGCATTTCATTTAACATCCAGTTTTGACCTTAGTGGCAAGAGAGTGTGAGGCCCCAGCCTCCAGGAGCACAGCTGCAGTCTCCACCTGCCCCTCTCGGGCTGAAATGTGGAGAGGAGTGTAACCGTTGGTGGTGGCAGCATCTGGATGAGCCATGTGCTGCAACAGGAGCTGCACAATGTCTGTTTTTCCTAAACGAGAGGCAATGTGCAGGGGAGTTTGGTCCTCCTAGATGAACATTGTGAGAAAATTAAATGATAAGTTTATTTATAGAGTCAAAATTAAGCATATGCCATAAAATGTAATCTCTTCTGTGACTTGTTTAAGCACAGTATTAAAACTTACCCTGGCCATAGCATCTACAAATGCACCATTCCTGAGCAAACAACGAACAACTTCCATTTGACCGGCTCGTGCTGCCATATGAAGTGCAGTTTCACCACGCTGAAAACAAAAACAGAGATGAAGTGAATGCCTCTTTCTTTTCACTTCATTATAATGATTCCTCTCAGCTCACTCTAACATCTGCCTTCGGAAGTGCATTTGGATAAAGTAGTGCTTACAATGTTACGGATATCGGGTGAAGCTCCATTTTGCAGCAGAAGCAGAACAATATTGAGGTGGCCCATGAAGGCAGCTACATGAATCGGAGTCAAACCAGACTAGAAATGAAACATAACAAAAATATAACTGTCAAATCTGAAAACATATTGCAATGAAAATGATACAGTCAGACCATTTGGAAATGCTTTACCTCGGTTATTGCCTGTATGGAGGCCCCATATTTGACCAACAGCTCCATCACTTTGACTCTGTTTTTCTTACAAGCAATGTGAAGAGGAGTGAAACCATTCTGTGGCATACAAAATGAAATACAGGCACATGTAAACAACATGTAAAACTCCCAGCATGAATATATATAAACAGACTGTTTGCCATTTTTGGCAATACATAAGAATATTTTGGACTAAAATATGTTATGACAGATTTGAATCGTCTGCACTCACCAAAGCTCGTGCATTAGGATTGGCCTTCTTGTCCAGCAGGAGCTTGGTGACTCTGTAGTGGCCACAGTGTGCGGCTACGTGCAGTGCTGTGAGGTAGTCCAGTGTGACATCATCAACAGGCGCCTTGTGTTGCAGCAGAAGCTTCACGCACTCTATGTGGTCTCCCTGGGCTGACATGTGAAGAGGAGACAGCCCATTCTGTGGAGAGAACGTACACAAACATATGAAGGTCAACTGCAAAAACAGATATCTCCATTTTGAAAAATGACCAAAAAGTATTCTTTTTTGTACCATCCTCTATAGATATTATGAACAAATATATCTGGCAAATTTAATGAAGAAGGAATGGAATAATATTTTGATACTGATAAAGTACATTTGGCTTTTAAAAACAATGCTTTATATGTCTTTCAGGCTCATTGCAACTACTTTTGGAAGTACTATTTAGTTAAAGCCTTCAAAAATATATATGATGTATCAGGTCTAAACAAAGTACTGTTGCATCCTGACAGTACCTTGGTTCTTGCAAGGATGGGCGCTCCTCTCTCTAAAAGGATCTCCACGGCTTGGTCATGCCCACTTCTTGCTGCACAGTGAAGTGGTGTCAGGCCATCCTGAAAGACCAAACATAGAGAAACATATGACATAATATGACCACATACAATGAATAAGTTAAGTATAATAATAATACAAAAGGCAGCTTACTCTAGTTTTGGCATCAATTTGAGCCCCTCGGTCCAGCAGTAAAGCCACCATATTTGTGTTCCCACGTTTTGAAGCCACATGGAGAGGGGTAATTCCATTCTAATGAAGGGAACAAAATTAATCTATGTCATTTATTGTATTTTAAAGTAAGTTATTTTTAACATTTGTGAAAGGTTATTTCTTTGATGGTGCACCACCTGACCCACACTTGGGAAAATATACCAGTTTCTAGCAAGACGTGTTGTTGTAGGAGGGGGGAAATGTAACTAATAATAATTAGTCATGTCAAGTCATGCTGGGCATTGTTATGCTTAAATCAAGTACAGAGCATTCAAGAAGTCAGGAGGAGAGGACAATGCTGTACCCGGGCTGTGAAGTCCACAGCAGCTCCTCTGTTCAGCAACAAGGTGGAGACATTCACATTACCGTAGTGAGCGGCGATGTGCAGAGGAGTAAAACCACTCTGTTAGAGACACACAGGGAAACAGCAGGCAATCACACCATAAGAAGGAAGGAGAGAGAGACATGAGGATCCTAATGGCTATAAAACTAGTAGAGACAAATTACAAGTTAAAAAAAAACAACTGTCAGGCAGATGCAAGAAAAAAAAGTAATGCAAAAGATTCACAAGATTAGTTTCAGCATGCTCTAAATTAGCACATGCAATATACAAAGTCATGCATACCAGAAACAGTATTCCACATGAACAAAAAAAAATCTAATATTTAAGTGGCATTAAAATAAATAATAAAACCATGAAATAAATAAGTAACCAATCAGTAATACACATAAGGCTGTGCATTATGTGTACATCCTTCATTTAAGATGAATAGACTACAATACACAGCGGTGTGTCACTTCTTACCTTCCCATTCTGTGAGACATGGTGCAATTTAATTAAGAAACAATTAAAAGTTAACTTAAACATCAAATCATATCAATGTTATATATCTGTTATTTACAACTTAAGTCATACTACATAAAGAAATAAAGTGAATGAGTTTCTCTATAGCAGAATTATCACTAAAATGTATTGGTATTAATAATGGTGTGCAGTAAATCAGTCAGGAGATCTAAAATAAACACATTTAGCAGATCTGAAATGTTAGCCATGCAGGTTTGTGTATATATTCGTTAGCATGCATAGAGTAGTGTGTTGTAACATGCAAAGTTTCTTGTCAGGTCAGAGGAAGAACAGAGCACATGAGGTGAAAGGGGTGGTCAGACATAAGTAAAAGGGGTAATGGGAGGATACCTCTGTGGTTCTATTGACCATCATCTGGTTAGGGAGGCATAGAGAGAGGAGGGACAGGAGGAACGTGGGTGTTAGGGGAAAGACTTTCACAACAACACACAACGTCAAAGCTAAAAACTACCGATAGAAACTGAATGTACTTTGAATGTCCATTAACTTGACTTTTTACACACTCACCCAAGATTTACTAATAAAATCACCACATTTTTATTTATTTTTGAGCATTATGTACATTTGTTGTCACCATTTTATTCCCTTTGAACTACATGGAAGCATAAACTGTATATATAAATGGGCATAGCTAACCTGCTATCCACCACTCTACATAATCCTGGTGTTTTTATTTAGCTATTTTGTCCATTTATAAATTTCTATTCCTAATATAGTACTTGGCTCCCCATAACTGCAAGTCTCCTGAGCTTCATTTGACTGGAGCTGAACACTATGGGTGACGTCACACTCCCTTACTTCACTTCTTTATTACAGTCTAATGCTTGGAAGACATGTTGGAAGATATCTCCAAGTATACATTTTGAACTGAACTGAGGGAGTCTGTTTCCACTGTCAGGTCCTTTACTTTATTTAGTTTTGTTGTATTCTAAACCTTCCCTCACCTTGGACTGGACATCAGCGTTGTGGTCATTCTGGAGCAGGAGAGCGGCTGACTTGGTGTCGTCTTTGCGAGCTGCGATGTGTAACGCCGGCAGACGGACCTTCCCCTTTGTGTCGTGCTCCAACAGAAGAGACACCACAGCGTTATGCCCCTGCTGCAGAGCAATGGCCAGCGGAGTGAAGCCATCCTAAATGAAAAGAGGAAAATTACTAGGGATGTAACAATAACAGAAATATTGCGATATTGCATCATCAAAGGTCTCAAAATAATATTGTGGACCATCACAATATATTGAATTGGCTTTTTGCTTAAATGAATAGTTAAGGTGCTGCAATAGCTAAAAAACAGAGGGAACTACATAGACCATGCTCCTTTGCTCCAGTTATTGCATTGCCTGGTATGTTCCACAGTGTGGCATAAACACATCAAGCAAGCATTTATTTAATCTCAGGTATTTGTATTGTATTGTATTGTATTGTATTGTATTGCCTCTCCACAGATCAGATCTGTAACTTGGCATGGTGGAGCCAACTTCTGATCTCCTTAGATAAGTTTTATGCCATATTATGTCACATTCAAGGCAAAGCAATAACATTTCTATGGAGACAATATAGTGACCCTCCCACCAGAAAAGTTACGCAGTGAACCTTTAACATTTACAATAATGAATACTAACTAAAGGAGCAACGTACCTCAGTCGCTGTGCTTTGGTTTCCATCATTTTCCAGCAAATATCTCACCACTTCTAAATGATTTTCCTGCGCTGCCATGTAGAGTGGAGTGAAGCCATTCTAAACATGCAACAAACCGGAAATGTTAATTTATTTTTTATAAATTACACTAATATATTTCTCACAAACAAATGTATTCATAAACGCGATCCTACCTGTGACTGAGAGTTAACATTGGCTCCTCTTTTGACCAAGAGCCTCACCACTGCTTTTTGTCCAGCTAAAGAGGCAATGTGGAGTGCAGTGTTCCCTTTCTGCAAATATCAAAAATACTTTTTTTATTATTTTAATTATAATTTTTTTTTTCAATTTTGAAATGTAAACAAAAATAGATAAAAAATAAATAAATAAATGAAAAAAAGCTCCCACAACCCACCCCTCTCTCCACACTCATCACACAAAACTAGACAAAAACCACTGGGCAAACAGACATTAACACTCATCAATCAGTCAAGTCCAGTCCTGTCAAGATGTTCAAAAAAGGTGTCCAAGTATTTAGTGTTAAATTTGTGAGTGAAAGTTGGTCTCTGGCTTTATGTCGTTCCAAGGACAAGGGGAGCGTAATTGGGATATTGCCAGCTGTTTACTGGAAGCTGTTAATCTTGAAGCGTTTTGAGTGTCATATGGTGCACTCCTTGCCAAGTCTTTCCTGTCATGATGCAATAAGGTGTAAACAGTGGGTGCCCTTAAACTCTGCAACTAACACTGAGAAAAGCATTTATTCATATTTATGCATTTAAATATGAGAATCATGGCATTATATACAGAGTAACTCCAGTAACTCCAAAAAACTTAACTGTCTTTTCATGTGCACCACCATCCACCATCTCAGATCTTTGTGACACACTGATGGACATGAGTGGACGCCTTGAGTTTAAAGTTTCATTGAGAGAATAGGATTTCAGTCCAACATATGCTGGACTGTACATTTGATACCAATATATCTTGCTCAAACTCAACCTAGTTCCTTTGCTGTCATCTACACACATCCTCTTTGGGCCAGCCAGTTGTCCCTCATAGAAGTCTCTTATAATTTCAAACACTAAGTTTTGATCCCAGGAACATAGGTGCAGGTGTGGTTACCTTTGTGGAAGAGTCAACCTGAGCTCCTCTGTCCAACAGCTCTTCTACTAAATCTGTGTGTCCCTCTTTTGCTGCCAGGTGTAGAGCATTTAATCCATTCTAGAGGGACACAGAGAAACACATGCAGACAGTGATTATAAATACATTATATTACAGTTATTAGTGCCTCATGTTCATACAGCAGAAAATCATAGTTGACTTCCTTTAAGTTTCTGGCAAAATTGCATCAGATCAATAAATTCATTAGCTCATGCAGCATGTTGTTTCTTACATGACTATTTAAAGCCACACACATGAACATATATAACTAAACACAAAACACTGATTCACCTCATCCTCTTCTTCCTCCATCCTGCCTCCCGCCTCGTTCCCACTCCCTAAACTTCTTTACCTTACCGTTAACACACTCTGCTTCTAACTTGAACCTAACTTTAAAACCCCTTCTTTATGTTCTGCCCAAAGATGCTTCCAGCTCTTTCCTGTGCCACGTCCAGAGGAGAACACAACAAGAAGGTGCACCCTGCCTCTGTATAGCCCACCCAGTCACCGGTCAAGCTGCCAACACGATACAACAGGCACGTACTAACTGATGACACTTGTACACACATATACACGCGCCCCACACACACGCACGAACACATAGCCACGGGGAAAGGCCAAAAGCCCAAAGGGGTGTCATGTTTCTGCACAGTCATAAAGGGTATGTAGGACAGCCCTCGGACACTCAGAAGTCTGGATGCTCAGATTTAGAAATGGCTGAAAATGGCAACCTTTCAAGGAGGAGCAAAAAGAGAGCATTCCAGAGAGGCCACTTTGTTGAGGAGTGATCATGACTTATTAATAAAATAATATATTGAAAATAGTCATTTCTGGACAAAGAGTTGAACTTAATTCTCTTAAGGTTGCATTTACATAACATTAGACATGATGTGCAACCAACAGTGCTTTTACAGACATGTATTTTATCAAGAAATTAAAAACGACTATAATTAAGTCCAAAAGAAATACACAGTGAAAATATATATGCAGTTATTCTTTTCCACAGCTCAATCTTTAAATATTTTTTAAATCTTTGTTGAAAACTCATTTGTATGCACTGGCTTTTAACATAAACTGAGCTGGACATTTGTATTGTATTGTTTGATTGTGTTTTTGGATTAAGACTGCACTTTACATTGTCTTTGTCCAGCACTTTGGGCAGCTGTGGTTGTTTTTAAATGTGCTTTATAAATAAACTTAACTTGATTTATAGATTATGTCAAAGTCTTGTAGGAGATAAGCCACACAATTCCTATTCTTGAATGAGCTACAGTAGTAGAATTAACTGGCAGAAATGTGTAATTTTATGCATACAGACTTATAAATACAAGAAGCACTAGGACTTAATGGCACTATATGATGTTAATGTAACTAGGCTCTGTGATCTTTGACCTGTATTATACAAGCCACTGGAGCCAATAATGACTTTGTAACATGGTTGAAATGTTGTAATTATTCAGTGTGAATATCTTATTTGCCTTGTTCTTTTTTTTTGCACAGGATGTGAGTGTATACAGTGTACAGACAACCAGAAATACATAGACACTCATTATGTGTCTTATATGTATTTTATTGACTGTTGAAATTGTAATGTACTGAATGTGCCTTCATAACATTGCTTTCTACATGTTAACTGTTCCTACTAAACTTTTTAATAGATAGTAATGCATTTTAACACGAAGCTGCTGCTGTGCTATATCTGCACTGATATAATGTGTGCTTGTGAAGTGAAGTGTGAATGACTGACAGAATGTATGTTATGGAAAGTATGAGTTGTTGCACTGTAAATACTGCACTGTGCCCACGTCCTCCCTTCTCTCCATCTTTTTAAGGACTTCAGATGGAAATCAGCTTCCTGAGCTAGAATCTGGCACTAACATCTTTGCCCTCTGGCTTTGTGTGACTATTGATACTTTGCAGAGACATCATGCTGGGGTTGTTTTACATGCATGTCTATATAGTGGAATGTTCACAATGGAGACACAATGCACACATTAGCAAACACTGCCAAAAAAAGTTTTAGAAAAAAACTCAAAAACAAAATTTCACATTTTCAGAAGCCTGTGATCAATACGTGTGTTCGTGGTCCAGTCCATGTTTTTTTTTTTTTTTTTCTCAACAAAAAAGGTGGGAGTGAGTAACTAAAAAAACTGCTGGCTAATGTTAACTAACTTGTGACTGTAATTTTTCGTGTTTAACAGCACAACTCAGCCTGTTGGTGTTCCAGCTAGGACAATTCAAAACTCAGATTAAAGTCTAACTTGAGACAGAGACATCAGCTGCAAAGTATCAGTACATTCTCCTTTTAATTAAATAAATAAAATGAAATATGCATAGAGACCATCCCTAACCACTGATAATAAATATGGCACTTCATATCACTGGACATTCATTGACTCAGCAGAAACAATCCTATTAAAGCTTTTCACCTCAGTAAGTACATTTGTCACTAACACACAAGCACACATACATTTACTGACCACACACCACTTTACATCCTGATTTAAAACACACAAAAAGCCTCATTTCACTAATGGACTTTCAGCTGAACGCAATGATCTCACAGTGAGTTCACTGTGAGGAGAAGCAGACATCTGTGTCACCATGTACTGTAACAAAAGTGGATGAACAACATGACAAAAGAGCAAATTATGTGAATGAAGCAGATTAAGGAGAATAATCACTAACCATGGATTCATACTGGGCTAAAACATGTTAACTTGAAGGTGCATTGTGCAGCTTTTCTGGTGGGTCCGTCACCTGCTTGTTTTCATGGAGATGCTATTGTTTTGTCTAGAAATTAAACTTACTGTATGTATCTCAATGAAGACAACTATAGACTATATTACAGGTCAGATCTGTGGAGAAGCAACCCTATTAACAGAAAGAATTATTGTATTTTTGAGCAGAATAGAAACACCTGTAATGAATGAACCATGGAGCATTCCAGGCAAAAACATCTCCATGGAGACAAGCAGGTGCCAGACCCTCCAACAGAAAAGTTGTGCAATGCACCTTTAAGTATAAAAATACAGAATCAATTTATATTGAATTGTACTGTATAGTAATGAATTAACTTCTGTGTCTGGTGTGTGGACCATATTGTAATAGGATTTCAGTACTGTTTTGCATATCAGTAGAAATATAGATTTTCTTAGAATGTGGTGAGTGAAAAAATGCAATAGTTAAATACACTACAGAAAAAAATGGGAGTATAATGGTAATGATAATGCATGTATGAATGCAATGCATGCATGTTTATAGAACTTTTCCAGTTGTTTCCACATTGCACGTTTTACCAGACAGACAAAATAGTGACATTATATATATAGCTAATATAAATATTAACACCAACTATACCATACCATAATGTTCTTTATTTCAGTAACTAATATCAAATATTCTTCATAGTACAGTCATTTGGTGCTTGTCATGTAACTTTCATAGATTTCAAATGACTTGGCAACAAGATACAGTTTGTCTGTGGTGACAAAGATAGCACTCAAAATGTCAACCATATTTCAGTCACCTGACTGAGGCTCAGATGTGAAGGGCAGGGGTCTTGTGTTTCCTGGGTGTGTATCCAAACAGTCATGCTGTCTCTGTGGTATGGTGGTCTACAAAACACAAGCACTGTGCCCATGACAACTATCCTCAAATCTAGTCAAATGACATAATGGTCCTATATGCACAGACCTTAGCAACACTGGCTAGAACAAAGAATGCAAATTGTCACCATAATAAAGTGATCTCCCTTGTCTCCTAAACAACCCATGACTTCCCCTGTGCAAATCTAAGATGCAAAAGTAGTGGGTGGAGCAGAGCTATTTATCACTATGTATTTCCTGGAGCTGAGGAGAATGTGACTGAAGCTTGTGTGTATTTGTGTGTACAGGAGGGAGGGATGATGTGTATGTGTGTGTGTGTGTGTGTGTGTGCGTGGGTGTGTGCGTGTGTGTGTGTGTGTGCATATGTGTGTATGTGTGTGTGTGGGTGGGGGGTTAGACCGGCGCACAGCTGTCAGTGGGACAAGGCCATCAGCCTGAGTGGGGATTGGAGATGAAAGGGGTGTGGTGTAGGGAGCAGGAAGACTAGTCTAAGCTGGTTGGGATGAGGTAGAATGGGGGCTGGGAGGAGGGGGCAGGTTAGGCATTCGCTGACCTGGCCCAGTGGGGGGTGCCGCAATGACACAGCAGTCCATAGCTATGCCCTTTGGAGTGCCATGTTTGGACTGTTTAGCTTGTGGTAAACAGGAACTTGCCTGTCATAACCAAAACTCAAACTGATATCTTGATGATCATGTTTGGATTGAAAGTTGTAATTAAGGTGGTATATTCTTATGTAACATGTGCAGTATAAAATGGAGGCTCTTGCAGTTATGCTCATGTAATACTTCTAATACTGCAGCATCTGAAAAAATCTGTACCACTGCAACAACATTTTGTATGTCAAAAGAAAAATAAGAAGCATTCACAAAACCAGAAATACAGACCACAGCCAGACCTTTAAAGACATTATGTGATGAGTGGTTTTCTTACCTGGTTACATGTGCAGATGTCAATACCATTTTTCAAAAATTCCAGCACTTTGTTAACATTCCCTGCTCGGGCTGCACGGAGAAAACTGGTGTTGCTGTCAGACTGAAAAGACAAAGACATAAAACATGTATTAAAATCTGAAATAAAACTATCCTGATAGTCTTTATATTGTATAATGTGAAAACAAAGTATAGACTCATTTATACATTGCTCACATTTGAACCATATAGTTTGACCTAGTTGCTGTCTAGGTTGTAACATTGGGAGAGTTATCTTCTGACCTGGATTCTTTAAACATTCTAGGGATAACTCGAGAGACCTCCCTGCAATGGCATGGACAACAATCTATCTAATTTAGTCCTAAATCCACTGACAGTTGCATTTAAGTGGAGATAAAAAATGAGCAATAAAAGAAACAAAACAACACAAAAAAGAAACAAAAGCCCCATTACCCCATTTAAACTTTAATTTTCATAAAGTAAAAAAAAAAAGTTTGTTACAAAGAAATCACAATGGATTCATTTCTGCTGGAGGAATCAATGTGTTCTTGAGCAACACGTGCATGTGTGTATGTTGAATGCATGTATTCTATATAAAGGTCAAAGGGCATCGCACTTCCGTTGTTAGTGTGTAATTATTTGAAACATGCACAAGATTGAAACAGGATCTCTGGGACTTTCCAATCACTGGTGTGAATTTGTGTGCTCTGTGTGATCAAACGCACAATTACATGTCTGGATTAAGTTTACAGCCTCATGCAAAGGTCACACACACACGCACACACACACACACACGCACACACACACGCACACACACACACACACACACACACGCACACATACTGTATACACACACTAACACCAGGCAGGCTGCATGGATGCTTGGATCCCACGTGCTTAAGTCACATTGCACTCAGAGTCATGGACAATGACTAAACCTTAAATTTAGCGGGACATTGAGCGCCATAGCAGCGCTTCTCAGTTTGCAAACATAGAGTAAACATAGTGCCCAGCGTATAACGAAGAACAAGATACAGTTTCAAAAATTCAAACTAGAAAGCTCACCAGAGAATCATCCACGTTTTCGGCTTCAGTTGCTCTGTAGTAGTCAGTGTGATGGTTCAAATTATTCTCATTCCCAGCCGTTCTTAAAGATTTATTTGATCCACAACTCTTACACGAGGCTGAGTTTCCCATCGTAGAAAAATATAATGTCCACTAGTAACTTTCTGAAATACATATGCTACTAATGTACGGTCCCTATTCCGTCCGTCATCTTCTGTTCTTACTACCTTGTCTCTATTTCTCACTGGCAACCGTAAACACTACATTTCACTGGAGGCTATTTTTATTTGGGAAGGACTGACTTGGACCATATACCCAGCCCCTTGGTGCATGTGTCCCGGGTGGGGTGCATGACAGCTGGGCTCCATGCTGTCAGGAGACTGCATGGGCCTGGTGCTGTCAAGGAACAACCAGAGCCTTCAAACTCAGTGGACTAAGTCTGGACATAGCAGTGAGATCAGGTTTCAATACAAACACTGCCAGGGATTCCACAGAGACAAGATAAGCAAAGATACAAGAACACATTAGATTCCATGGGTCAGAAATTAATATTCAGAACTACTTATATTAGTAGTTAATGGCTATTGGTATTCTTCTTTAAAAATAAATACATGCTTCAATCAAAAAAGTAACCATAATATAAAGATAAAACCACCCATCCAACAACCTGTCTAATACACATTCATGCATGTTTATTACTTATGATAAATTAATAGCAATTAAAAGGAAATAACATGTGTTTGAGTACACAATATTTGGCAAAGATAGTGTTTTTCTTAGACATAAACATAAGTATGTTATAGTATCATCCTGTGTGTTATGCAATGATTCCTGTAAGTACATTACTGGTGATGCATGTGCTGAGTAAACCACACAGAGATAGGATTGATTGTGGAACAGATGTAATCTGTGAAACTCAACAGGATTTGAGTGGATTGCACTGCAGCCATCCTTATAATAAAGCATAGTGGATTATACAGTGATATAATCCCATATCTGACAAGGAGACTGCAGTGAGCACACTGAGTGCCCGACCCCACTCTTTCTTTTCTATTTCACTGATTTGCTCTTACTAATAACAACTGCTCATGCTACAAAACAGAATTTTGTTAAGATTTTGCAAAGATTTTGTCATCCATGCTGCCACGTAGTCATGATCATTAAGATCAAATCCAGAATATGGCATTACTGTACACAGTCAATATACATACATACATATCACTGTACTGCACTGCACTGAATAAGCAGGCACAAAGCTAAATCAAAGTTTACCTGTCGTTTTCGCTCTAGCCTCTCTCGCTGGCGCCTCCTTTTGTCTCTGGCCTTCTGAAGAGCTTTGTACTCAGGGTGCTGCTCAAGCTCTCTGGCTTTCTTTAGGTGAGCAGCTGCATGGGCCATGACTTAGCCTTAAATTGAATTCTCAAACAGAAACACTGCAATTTCTCTTCATCTGGTACACTTTAAAAGTTATATTAAAGGTGGAAAGCTTGGTGTCCAAACAACTGTAGTTGATACTCCAACATCCATCAGTCCAAAGCAAAATGGCATTCAGATGCATGTGGGCAAATACAAAGACAGATGATGACAGAAAAGGCTTAAATAATGATGAGAGTAAGTCCTCCCTCTCACTCATCACATTTGACCACACAGGGAATGCCTCATCCAGATGTGCACAACAGAACAGATGTGGAAAAAGGCAGTCTGCAGAGGTTACACATGTAAGCGGTACTCTAGTATCATGAGACAGTAGTTTAGTGCTTGCAAGTTAAGAACAGATTTAGAACAATTATTGTACTGTTGATGTACATTTAGGCACAGCTATAGATTTAAAAATTATACTACTGGGCAAAAAATAAATAAATAAATAATAATAATAATAAAGACAACATAAACCCTTTTTTTTAGTTTTCAGTTTATGTTTTTATTGTTTCATTTACTCTTTAAGATATGGATTTATTTATTTAAGATACATATTTATTTCTTATTTTTACTGAGATTAAACAAATGGATAATATTTTACAGAGGCATTATAAACACTTGTTGTTCCGAACATTTGTGTCTTTACTGACCCCTTGTGGCTTGGTTGCATTAGTTTCATGTTGCCAACCAAATCTTAAACTACTGCTGACAAAAATCATTTTCCTTTCTGGAGGTAATTTAAGAACCATTAAGCATAAACAAGCAGTAATGAATAGGCCTGTGAGTTGAAAAAGTAGACTTGTATGTTGAGTACACACTGTTCCAATGTCAGAGAATACAGAATGCTCCATTCATGCAGGAGGGGGCTATGAGGCTCAGCACATAAAAGTGACACTCAATCACCTGGAGTTCCTGTGTCCCCCGTAAACAGAGAAAAGTGGGTCAGTCCAGTTTCAACTGCACTGCACCTCAGCACGGTCTGATTTGATGACATATGAGAAATGAAAAGGCAATGCGTGTACTGGCCCATAAAAATGTTTGACTGTGTTGGTGCACCAGAGTAAATTGGAGCATGTCTTTTCAGTATTGTACAGGGACACCTCTATGCATGTTGTCCATTCAGGCCTGATTCAACTCTTTACAATACTACTTCTATTGCTAATGGTGTATGTGGAAGAATAAGTGCAAATCTCTAATCTTTTCCAATCCTGCTGGTTCATATGCTGGCTTTGCATTTTCCTCTTTGACTTGATCTGCTCTACTGCCATCTACTGGTCATTACTGGAAAATTAAGTCTGAAAAGTAATAGTTTATTAGTGTTGTGCGACAATGTACCACTAGGGGCTACACGGCATACATAAAATATCAGATTGGCATAATATATAGTAATTTATTGAAATGCAGTGATTAGTATGGAAGCAGTAGCTCTACAAGTAACTTTGCCTTGTTGAAAGCTCTTATATTACTCTATTCTGTGATCTATGTTATAATGTTGTTTCCTAAAAACTTGAAACACAAGTTGTGTTGTGTTTCATTCACACAGGTTTAACACATTAACATAGTTCTACTCTCAAACAGAAAACACTCTATTCCACATTGTGATGTCATACGGTAATACAAGAAGTACGCCACTCCATACACCTTCACTAGAGTCATTTGGATCATTTCAGCCCTGGAATAGCTAATCTGTACAGGACAAAAGCGAACCTATTAACTTGAAAACTAACATTTCATGACATCACAAAGTGGAACAGAGCATTTTGAGCCATGGAGATTTAGACCGACTAATAATAAAGGACTACAAACTTATGAGAATGAAACAAAACATAATTGTTTTTATGATGTAATTCTAAAATCAGTTTTGCGTAATATGGGATCTTTAAGGCTAGTGTAAGAATAAATGTTGATACAACATTTTTAATCAACTGTTAATTATACATCACAAACAAGAAGACATGACTATTTACAAGTCACGTTTCTCAACGCATTAGTGAACACGCATGTCTGATTTCTCAACTTTCTCTCAAAATCCATACTATATCGATTGCTATGTTACCCAACCCTGATACAATGTTCTTACTGTAAACTTCCCTGGACGTGCTCTGGTCCCATCGCTTAATACTATGACCATTTTACAGCTACTTACACCAACAAAACTGATCAATATCATCTTATTGATCTTTTCCAATCTCTATCACTCATTTGGGATGATGAGAATTAGGAGAATGCATTATAAAAGCTGGGACCAGGGCAGAGCATGTCCATTTAGGAGTCACATTACATTGAAGAAGGGCTGAACTGCAGGTCTGGTCTCCAGTGTGGGGAGAGGGTAATGGTGTACTTTCCACTTTATAGATCCAGGGCTTTTATAATGCCCATTAGAACAGCATGATAGACAGATACAAGAAGGTTGTGTCATTCAACTTGTCTCATTAACATACATGGACACAAGATTTGGTCTCTCAAAATACAAGTGAATAGTAACAGAAAAGGGGTAAGAGTAAAGAATCATATATTACAAGACTGTGGTTTAATAGACAACTTCATTGTCAGTAAAAAAGCAAGAGAGTTCTAATAACTGTTGGCAAAACAAACAGAGTGCTTGTTTTTGTTTATGTGCTGGGCCTGGTTCACAGAATGGATCATAGTTTACAGTAGCTTTTGTTGTTTTGCTTCCTAATGGACTCGGTGCTGACTGGTAAGAGGAGTCTGTCCAATGAGGGTTTAACACACATTATGAACCATCAGCTTTAATGGAGGGAGGATGTTACCGTTTTGAGACTGCAACCCATTCATTTTTAATTTTTCTACAGCACATTAGTGTTTGTTGAACATAATATACAGTAAGTAGGGATGGGACAAACAATAATATTGTTTATCATGATAAAAAGGGTAGACAATAAACATTCATGGGACATTTTATAGAATTGTGATGATTGTTATTTTGGTCATGATAATAGTGAAATTTCCCAGTTTCGCCCATGCCTAACAGTGAGTATTCATGTGTAAGTTGTTATCAATGCAACTATTTTGTAATTTCAAGACACGCTTGAATTTTACATCAATCTCATCATAATGTTCTTTATTTTTTGCTTTGATTGTGGATTTTATCATTTATTTTGATCATTTATTGTTTTATTATTGTTATTACTTTATAAAGAATTATTCATTCACTCCATACACAGTGGTGGTGAGCTACCAATGTAGTCACAGCTGCCCTAGGGTAGATTGACAGAAGCAAGACTGCTAAGCTGCGCCACTGACCACTACAACCACCAATTATTCACAGCATATTCATACTAGGCATGGGTCACTCTCACACACTACCGTATTCCTAGGAATTTCCCATGCTTCTGCAAACCAAGTCCAACTCTTTAAGCATCACAGGACAATGTCAAGTTGGTATGCCCAGTGCAGCTGCATTTTATGTCTTAGGCTACTTACTAATTCCTAAAACAGTGTTTGCTTAAAGTACAGTAAATACATTCAAAACATCAAATTCTGTAAATTCATGTGCCTGTTTTAAACCTAGATGAGTGGAATATCTGGTATATAAACTACCAACCATCCAATTCAATGTATTCTTGAAAGCATTATGGGCGGCTGTGCCAACTCTGAAGACATGAGAAAAATAAAAGTAATTGTAAAGTAAAATGCATAGTCTCTAACCAAATGCATACATGAAGTAACTCAAAATGACATTATCATATTAGAGAGACAGAGACACAGTTTGAGATGCTCCAGACAGCAGTGGGAGGTCCATAAACACAGCCACATGCACACACACATGCATGCACACGCACACAACACACACACAGAACACACACACAGGCAGCACATGCACTGTCTCCCTTTAGGTTACTGATTCTAGACTGCAGCTGAACCCTGCACACCAACGTCACTGCTACTGTCCACCTGGCTCCTATAGATATAGATAGTTTTCTCTGCTAATTAAACCAAAACCAAAACAAAAACACCTGCATATATATATATATATATTATAACTATCAAAGAACAACATCAGCTGTAAACACATTCACATATTGATTTTGTGTCATATTGCCCATCCTTGTAATGTCTAATGAGACTATTTAAAAGGTGGAGCACAATATAGCCATGCACACATCAATATAAAGTGACCGGTCGCTAATTTACTCTTACTTAAGAAACATGTAAACAAGAGTTAAATCCATATCCTTGGCAGAGACAGTGTGGCAATAGAGTAAGAATGATGTCATGCTTGGCTGCCTTTAATACTGGTTAGGAAAGGTCAGTGTACAGATAGCATTTCAATTGTCTGACTCACTTTGTCGCCCCATTGGGTTTTCATCAAATTAAATCAGATATTAGAAACAATATCTAACAACGTATGGTTTGGTTATATGATGAAATGACGCCTATGGCCTACGGGTGGACTGAGAACAGAACACACACACAGAGATGCAGTACTTTTAACCTTGATATAGTCATATGATAGGCTAGAGAAGACCAGGCCACAGAGAGAGAAAGTGGAGACAACCACACCCCACTGTAACACAGAATGGTAGCCTACTGCACAAATGCACACATCTGATTTGCAACTGTGAATTTAAACTATGGAGGGGTTAAAATTTAAAGGCCCTCACTGACATCAGGCAGTATTGCAATATACTCTCTAGGCTATAAATTAAACATGCCTGCCAATGTTGAAACAGGTGAATGTGTATAGTGGAGAGAATTTATGTACTGAAATGATCATGAGACTGGCAAAGGGACATAAAAACACACAGAAAAGAAACAAAAGAATACTATAACATGGTTTACACAATATTATATATGACCTTTAATGTCTGTCCTCATTGTTTCTGTTATCTAAGTACAGCATCTGCTTTCGTATATAAATAGATGCACATACTGCTGATGCTAGCTGTACATTTATTTCATATACATTGTGTACTATCATAATATGTGAAGCAAACTCAACCTTTCTATTGCAGTAA